AAACCCGTGGGCTCAGGCAATCCACTCACCTCAGCCTCCCAATGGCGCGGGATTACAGGCTAAGCCACCGAGCCCGGCAAGCTTGAGTCATTTTAAGGAAAATAATTATGCTGTATTAATATACCTAGCAAGATAAGAAATAATGTTTCTATAGAGATATTGACCAACCATGATCTAATCACTGCATTTCTTTTTTTGAGTCGGAATCTCACTGTGTCGCCCAGGCTGGAGTGCAGTAGCACATTCACGGCCACTGCACCCTCCACCTACTGTGCTCAGGCAATACTTCTGCCTCAGTTTTCCAAGCAGCTGGAACTACAGGCATGCACCACCACACCCAGCTAATTTTTTGATATCGTAGAGATGAGGTTTCGCCATATTGCCCAGGCTGATCTCGAACCTCTGGTCTCAGGCAATCCTCTCACCTCTGCCTCCCAAAGTGCTAGGATTACAGGCGTGAGCCACTGAGCCTGACCTAATCGTTACGTTTCTAAGGCAAACAACAATGAAAGAGAGGAATGAACTTTAAGGCAAGAGTACAGTCCATGAAGAGCTCGGAGCCAAATTTAAATGCAGACGAAGAGAGAGGGAGGAAATAATGCTATGAAGGGATTCAGGCAAAAGAGAGGTAAAGACAGTTCACCCTTTAGTAAGTTCTTGAAGAACAGGAAGGATTTATGTCATCAGAGAGAAGGGATGGGGTGAAAGAGAGGAACGAAGGGCCTTGCACGTGGGAAGAGGATGCTAAGGGCAAGGAGAGGAAAAGAGCCGTCCCGAGTGTCCCATGTGACCCTGCTTGGAGTGGCACCCAGCAAACGAACTGAGTTATTATTGCTAACAGCTTCCTTTCAAATTGTCCATCCATTATTATATTCATTCCTTTACATTCCTCTGGCATTTTCCCCTAAAATTGATACCTGTTTAGCCTGTTAATTATCAATAAATGAAAATGAAAGCAGATAAAAGAAGTTCAGACACTCTCATCATATATCCAGAGGATGTGAATGCAAGGGAAAGAAAATGAGGTCCAGAGATACTGAAGCACACCGGTACAGAATGAATCACGTAACTACCTGAGAAGGGTGTTTCTTACACTTACCAAAGTCAGACACACTCCCGGTCTTCGTGAGCTGCACGTCATAAACATTTAGGGGGAAGACTTCTATTTCATCATAAACCTACCAAAGTTGAAAACATTAAAATCAGAGGATTTAAAACATTATTTTGACACTGTTCTTTCATAACAAAACAAGAAAAGGCTGAGCACAGTGGCTCATGCCTACTATCCTAGCACTTTGGGAAGCCAAGGCAAGTGGACTGGCTGCGCCCAGGAGTTTGAGACCAGCCTGGACAACATGGCGAGATTTTGTCTACAAAAATCAAAAATTAGCCGAGCATGGTGGTGTGCACCTGTAGTCCCAGCTACAGGGAGGCTGAGGCCTAGGAGGTTGAGTCTGTGATTAGTCTCTGCACTCTAGTCTGAGTAACAGAGTGAGACTCCAACCCAAACAAACAAGCAAACAAACAAACAAAACCCCAAGAAAGCTGTGATAGCTTTATTGAAAGATACACTTTACACAGAGATTGTTTCCAAACAAGATACCCAATTTAAACAGATTTTTCCCTAAAGTGACATCTTTCAACATGAAGGGACTGTGGCTATGCTGTCAATTTCCTTCAGAAAGCTAGTGACATCTACCTGCTCCTGCATGTAATCATAGGGTGCAGGAATACAGCACTCGACACTGTCATCCACTAATCTTCGGAGCTGCAGGCCATAGTGGCTGGGGTCCAGCTGCCTCATCTAGAGAGAGAAAGACAGTGATTTAGATGTTAAATATTCTTCCTAAAGTAATCATTGTTCAGCAGGCTCACTACAAATCAAAATGGTCATCTAAAAGAACATTTGATGTGACTTGCTGGGCTTAAACCTAGGTAAGAGCTCAAACTCAAATACTAATGTGCAATAAAGTGAAAAGGGACAAATAATGAGCTGTGAGAAGGTTTTCTCTGAACAGTATCACTACCACTAAAGGTAACGTGCTGTTTTCAGAGGTTATAGCCAAACAGACCTGATAGTAGAACACATCTTACTATCTCAGCAAACGCTATCTCTGTCTATATGGGCTATGCCCAACCTTGCTTCCCATGACTAAAAGTGGAGACATGTGTAAAATGTGAACAAAGCTACAGACTTCAGAATTAAGAACTTTCTGCTCCAAGAACTTTTCTTTTCTTTTTTTTTTTTTTGAGTTGGAGTCTCACTCTGTCGCCCAGACTGGAGTGTAGTGGCCGCTCCCGGCCACCGCAGCCTCGACCTGCTGGGCTCCGGCGATCCTTCCACCTCAGCCTTCCGAGTAGCCGGAATTACAGGGGCGCACTACCACACCCAGCTGATTTTTTTATTTATTGTAGAGATGAGGTCTCGCTGCCCAGGTGGGACTCAAACCCGCGGGCTCAGGCAATTCACTCACCTCAGCCTCCCAAAGGCACGGGATTATAGGCTGAACCACCGAGCCCGGCTCAAGAACTTTTCAAAAGGAAACTGTGTACACACACACACATACACCCTTACTCTCTTATCTTCTTTTTCTTCCTCATGTTCATTTTCAACAGTAAATAAATTATCTTAAAATTACATTCTACCTTGGTCTAACTGACACACTATTTTTAAAAGAGACAAACTCTCACTATGTTGCCCATGCTGGTCTCGAATTCCTGGGCTCAGGCATTCCTCCCGCCTCAGCCTCCCAAAGTGCTGGAATTACAGGCGTGAGCCACTATGCCCGGCCTGACACACTATTTTTGACACCCTCTAACACTGAGAAAAGTATAAATTTTTCCAGTTTGTTTGTTGTTTTTTTTTGATTCAGGGTCTCACTCTGTCACCCAGGCTGGAGCACAGTGGCATGCTCACGGACACTGCAGCCTCAACCTACTGGGCTCAGGCAATCCTTCTGCCTCAGTCTTCCAGGTAGCTGGAACTACAGGCATGTACCATATGCCCGGCTAATTTTTCTTGATTTATTGTAGAGATGAGGTCTTGCCAAGTTGCCCAGGCTGGTCTTGAATTCCCGGGCTCAGGCAATCCTCTTGCCTCCACTTCCCAAAGTGCTGGGATTATAGGTGTGAGCCACTGCACCCGGCAGAAAAGTGTAAGTTTAATAGCTGATATCATTGCTATATAGCACCACTGTTGGTTTTCTGCATAAAAACCTTATAGACAGGAGCCAAAAAAAAAAAAAAAGTTTATAAGAATATAAGCTACATATGTATTGTATCCTGAAGCTTCATGTCAAAATGACAAAAGAGGACTAACATTAGACATTTTTCACACTGTGATGTGTACATGATTAAGAGTCACCACACTTGGCCGGACTCGGTGGCTCAGCCTGTTATCCCAGCAACTTGGGAGGCGGCAGCAAGAGGATTGCCTGAGCCTGTGGGTTCGAGACCAGCCTGGGCAACGTGGCAAGACCTCATCTCTACAATAAAAAAAAAAAAATTAGCTGGGCGTGGTAGAGCATGCTTGTAGTTCCGGTTACTTGAAAGGCTGAGGCAGAAGGATCACCAGAGCCCAACAGACACTAGGTTGGCTATGAGTGTGCCACTGCACTTTAGCCTAGGCGACAGAGTGAGACTCAAACTCAAAAAAAAAAAAAAAAAAGTCATCAAACTCTACATGCCTTTTCACCATTTCAACATATTTTTTTGATGGTATTTTCTCCGGAAATTTAAAATATTTAAACTCTACTACGCCACCTGGTGGTCTAAAAGCTTCTAATCTGATGTGCGGAAATTTTCTCCCTCTCAGAGGGTGCTAAGATTTACCATAAATGTCCTTTTCAGACTAGGAGTGAAACCCAGTTTGAAAAATGAATAAAACATCATCTTATATTAATCTCAATGAAGCAAGTGTAAATGTATCAAGTTGTTTAATCTACAGAAACCTAGTAAAACTAGGATCAAATCAAACTACTTCCAAGTTTTCTCTCATAGAACTCTCACAGAAAGTTTCTTCTTATGGAACACCCTCTCCAAGCAACTTAAATAGCAACAGATTTCATAATTATTCTAGATACAAAGGCAAATACAGAATTTCAGAATAGCTCAGGTTCTTCATGAAAGCCTGGGATCATGACCTAACGAGTCATTTTTCTAAATGAAGAACAAAATGCAAATTAATAAATGTGCTAATGCATATCTTAATTAATGGATATGCTAATATGTTCCCTAGGGTATAAAGTGAGGTCTTGAACACCACACAAATTTAGAAGGCAGAGGAATGCAACGTTAATGCTTCTTTCTCCTCGGAAGTATATTTCTGGCTGAGCGCAGTGGCTCACACTGTCCCAGCACTTTGAGAGGCAGAGGCGGGGAGATCGCTTGAGGCCAAGAATTTGAGACCAGTTTGGGCAACATTGTGCGATCTCATTCCTATAAAAAAAAAATTTTTTTTTTAGAGAAGTATATATTTCTATAGCAAAATCCATTACCTTGCACGCCAACGTCAAAACATCTTCTACTCTGTGTTCTGGCTTGATCACAACAGTCACGCCGTGATTATCCTGAAAGTGAACGTAAGTCGGAATCGCCCACATGCTGTCTTGGGGAACACCATCTCCTGTCGAGCTGCACATATGCAGAAGCTCGTCAACCTGTGGATAGAGGCCAGAAGAAAATGCAGACAGATGTGATAAATTGAGGGAATGCTTGAGAAAGATCCTCTTCATGTGGGGAGTGTTCGGAGTAAGCTCCCCCACCTTCCCACCACTGGCCTCTCACAACGCTCGGAGGCAGACACGGTCTCCTCACTCATTTCAAGCATATGAATGAAGTGAAAGTCAAGGACTCCTCAGCCCATGCTCTCTCCGCTATGCTAGTTTCCCACTCAGATCAAGATAGAACACCATGATCCAGGTGGGGGCTGCCAAGAATCCCACCTGACCCGGTTGAGAAGGGCCATCCCAAAACCTGCATCTCGGCCACAATCCCTCTCCAGCTTCCAGTGAATTCTAGACACACTCAGTCCATGGCCAAGACACCTGCCTGCACCCTGACCCTGAGCGCACTTAATCAAAGCAAAATTCTCCTCTCTCATAAATCCACTTGTTTTTTAAAATGAACCTGTAGTTCTGAGGAAATCTTTTCTCTTTCCTTCGCTGTTTCACATGTAGACTGTTAGAAAATCATCTCCAAACACACCACCTTAGGCCAAGGGAGGTGGCACATGCCTGTAGTCCCAGCTACTCGAGGCTGCAGTGAGCCGTGACTGTGTCACTGCACTCCAGCCTGGGTGACAGAGTAAAATTCCAGTTCAAAACAAAACAAAAACACACATACCACCTCCAGGAAGCCTTTGCCAAGGATGTGTGGTTGTCTAAACATCATCGCAATAATTCGATGACTTCATGGGAATATGTACTTCTACAATTTGTAACAAAAATAGCAACCATTTCTTTAAAAACTCAGAAGGGTTTCTCTCTGGCTAGTTTCTCATATTAACATGGTGGTAAAGAAAAGATTTGGGGATTTAAAACCAAACGTCACAGACTCTACCGCTTAGCCAGTGAGGAGTGGCCTAGGATATGACATTTACCTTGCTACACCTTCTCCTGTTCTAAAGGGGACATTAGTTACATAATTACGTAAATGTATTAACAATAAAAACTGCTGGGTGTGGTGGCTCACACCTGTAATCCCTGCATTTTGGGAGGTGGAGGCAAGAGGACTGCCTGAACCCAGGGGTTAGACTAGCCTGGGTAACATGATGAGACCTCCTCTCAACAATAAATTAAAAAATTAGCCGGGAGTGGTGGCACATGTCTGTGGTTCCAGCTACTCGAAAGGCTGAGGGAAAGGATTGCCCGAGCCAGCAGGTCGAGGCTGCGGGAGCTGTGAGTGTGCCACTGTACTCCAGTCTGGGTGACAGAGTGAGACTCCAAGAAACCAAAACAAAACAAAAATATAAACTTTTGTGAGAAAAGGATATCATATATGTGAAACACTTTACATACCAGAAAATGTTACCTACATATTCAACACAATCACATTTGTATTTTAATTTTAATTTTTTATTTTTGAGTCAGAGTCTCTCTCTATCGCCCAGGCTAGAGTGCAGTGGCATGCTTACAACCACTGCAGCCTTGATCTGCTGGGTTCAGGCGATCCTTTTGCCTCAGCCTCCTGTAGTAGCTGAGACTACAGGTGTGCGCCACCATGCCTGGCTAATTTTTTGATTTATTGTAGAGACGAGGTCTGGTCAAGTTGTCCCGCATGGTCTCAAACCCAAGTCAGGCAATCCTCTCACCTTTGTCTCCCAGAGTGCTGGGATTACAGGCATAAACAATTGCATCTGGCCTCAACACAATCACATTTTTATTTACCACTCATCAGACTTTAAAGTTGTCACTATTGAGTGAGTTTACTTTGAAATCCATGCATTTTTAAACACAAAATAAAAGATCCTCCTATATAAGACTTAGAATAGATACAGTGAAGAAATTGAGGCTGGGCACAGTGGCTCACGCCTATAATCCCAGCACTTTGGGAGGCTGAGGTAGCAGGATTGTTTCAGGCCAGAAGTTCAAGACCAGCCTGGGCAACACATTGAGATCTCATCTCTACAAAAAATTTTTTTTAAAAATTAGCTGGCTGTGGTAGCGCTCGCCTGTCATCCCAGCTACTCAGGGGGCTGAGGCAGAAGGATCACCTGTGCCCAGGAGGCAGAGGCAGTGGTGAGCCGTGATTGTGCTCCAGCACTCCAGCCTAGGTTACAGAGTAAGACCCCGACTCAAAAAAATAAAAAGGAAATTTTTTTTTTACAAGAACAAAGCCAGAGAGGAATCCATCTTTCTCAGCTGTCTTTTTGAAAGTGTGGTGCTCAACTTCACTGTGACATTTCTGGATCTGCCAGGGATTTGTCACTGTCAGCATATTTTCCCAGAAGGATGATCGCAGTCAGAAGGAACAAACCCTCACGTGCCAAGGGGAAAGAAAGAGACAGGAGGAGACACCAGGAAGCAGCCTGCATACCCTTTCCCAAATGGTCCTGTCTCCCCGGGGCCATGGTTTTCTTCTGGCCCCTTCCCCCAGGGACCCTCTACCTCCTCAGTGATTCCATCAGGCTGGCCACAGACAGAGGCAGCCTTCTCAAACTGAGCTTGTTGAGAATGCAATGAAAGCCCCAGCAGAGGGCGCGGTGGAGCAAGAAACCACACAAAGAACCGGGCACAAGGACGTCACCCAGTCCCAAGACGGCTGCAGAGGGATGCCGTCCTGTACTCTGGGGAGCCGAGGAAACGTGACAGGATGAACAGGCCGGGGAGGGACATGAGCAACACACATTCACACTATGCCTCAGTGCCCTCTTGTCTCCATCCTCACTGGCCATCACAGAAAGACGTTCCATGGGGCCAGTGAAATGAACTCCGCACGCCATCAGTTCACTCACCACTCACTCACAACCAACCCATTCATGTGGGCAAGAAAAATAAGGCTCAGAAAATTCTACAAACCTGCCCAAGTTCACACACTGAGTGACTGGGGCACTCCAAGGATTGGAACCCTGGAAGTTGTCCCAGTGCTCACCACCACTGCACTACCCAGAAATGACAGTCTGACCGTTGATTCCCTGTAAAATGGGCACAAGATAAATTTTCCAGCTGGGTGCAGTGGCTCACGTCTATAATCTCAGCACTTTGGGAGGCCGAGGTGAGAGCACTGCCTGAGCCTGCAGGTTCGAGACCAGCCTGGGCAACTTGGTGAGACCACATCTCTACAATAAATCAAAAAATTAGCCAGGCATTGTGGCACATGTGTGTAGTTCCAGCTACTTGGAAGGCTGAGGCAGAAGGATTTCCCGAGCCCAGCAGCTCGAGGCTGCAGTGGTCAGAAGCGTGCCACTGCCCTCCAGCCTCAGATACAGAGTGAGACTCCAACTCAAAAAAAAAAAAAAAAAAATTCCGATTCTTTTCCACTAGCCCACTAACACACCAGGTTCCAGTTGGACAGAATGGCTCACGTGACATTCCCCAAAAAGGAGTGATACTCTTCTAGTCCAGCCCAGTGCTCACCTCAATTTCCTCGGCTTGTCTTACTTCCCTCACGGCTTCAGTGCTGAAACCACTCATATATCCTCCAACTTTATTTAAAAAGCTACCCTTTGGCCGGGCACAATGGCTCACATTTATAATCTCACCACTTTGGGAAACCAAGGTGGGAGGATCACTTGAGGCCAGGAGTTTGACCCCACTTCTACAAAATAAAATAAAATGCTATCCCTTCTCTTACGAAGTCTCCCTGTCTTTGCTTCCCTGTCCCCACTCACATGACTGAGTTTATTCTCCCACCTCCCTGTTACAGCATTGGAAGACCAGCTCACGTGCTGGTCAGTTCTAGGTCCTCACAGTACAACAAAGTGAGTGATAACAGCGGAGGCTTCATCTTCTGCATTCTCAGTCTCCTTCTGCCCTTAACACAAAGCTTCCTGTACCCAGAACACACCCACAGGTGGGTGCCAAGTCAGATGTGACTGGAAATTCACATCCTACACAAGCATGAAAGGTCAAAGCCATCCATTTTCAGTATCTTATTCATATCTGTTTGTACAGTATCAAGTTCTTAACCTCTAAAGTTTCAAGAAGGGAGATTAACAGATCATTGAAGGAGAACAAGTCCAAGACAAGAAAGAAGTGTGCAGGTAGATGGAAGGATGGAAGGAAGGATGAAATGATATTCCTACAACATCCAGTTACACAAGGTGCTGAGCTTCAACTGTTCTGAGCAATTATTTTCTGGATCTACACCGTTGACCCAAGATCTGGTGAACAACAGAAGAGAAGATGCCTATCAAAGCTAAGGTCATTTTGGATTCAGACTCTTGGAATGGATCCCTCGGTGAAAATTCAGAGGTACACACATATACCACATATGCATACATACACACATTCATATATAAATACATATTCCACAAATGTACACAATTCAATGAAGGCAAAACCTGGCTATGTAAAGGAAGCACCAAGAATGTGAAATTGGGCAACCCTTTCGGGTCCCCTCCCACTGTGGGAGCTTTTCTGTCTTTTCAATAAATCCTGCTTTTTTTTAAAAAAAAAAAAAAAAAGTGAAATTGGTTAATTAGAACCAGAAAAAGAAAAAGCCACTTAGTGCTTATAGGTCTGAGGCTGTGGTAAGGTTTGCCCATTTGGAAAGAAAGTTGGACTGATTTCCTCAGGAATGGTCAATGCTAACCAAGCTGAAAATACACCTGTGTTAGCTTCGATAAGCCAGATAAAATATTCTTCTACATTCTTTTTATAAAAGAAACAGAAAATCTTGGAAAGAAGCACAAAAAAGCGGAGCCATCTGGAAAGAAACAAAACAAAACAAAACACTTTCTCCATCTCACCTTTTCAAAGGCGCCATGTTAGTGAGTCTTTTCAACCATTCACCCAGAACTCCAGGGTTGGCTGCAGGAAGCACACCCACCCTGCCTCCTGCTCCACCTTTCCCCATGGGGAAAAAAAATTCATTCCCAACTAACCTGCCCAAGGTTTCTAGGTCCTGGGGAAAAAAATGGAGGCATCAAAAATAATAATAGTAATAATAATAGAAACACAGTCTGGGTCAAGTCTCAAGCCTTGTTAGGGTTAGGTAT